CCCCAAAACCCCAAAACCCCTTAAGGTCAATCAATTCAACCATACATTAACTAAAATATTAATTGAAAGAAATTATAATATTATCAATTATCACCTAAACCATGCAGTCCTTACTCTTGCTGTAATTTTCTTTCCATATTCATTGAGAATCGTAACAATCTCATCATTGTCACCAAGGGTAGATCGAATTGATATGTTTAAATTAGAGATCAAATCATTTGACACAAAACTTTATTCTTTCAGCATACTCTGATTGATCTTGGATAAGGTTTAATTTTCAGTATATACTCCTGAGAATTTAATGACTGTCATTGGATATTTTTCCCTAAACATCTTATAACCCTTGTCAAAAACATCTCTCTAATCGAAATCAAAAATAACAAAACTCTGGTGAGCATCTTCAGAAGATAGATCTTACTAATACATATCATCAAGCATCTCAAATATTGTCTCAGGAATAGTACTCGCTTTCATTTAATAATCACTAAAAGTAGGATCATATACCTTGGGCTATTGAATTGAGTTAGATTAGTTAAGTGTTTAATCAGCAATATTTGAGTGTTGACCTCTAATTGCTTTTCTTTAAAGATTTTGCTCTAACTTTTATTAGGCATCTATGAAAAACTTTTTTACTGTTAATCTCAATTCTACAATCTCTTTCTTATCTTACAATCTTATAATATTCTTCTTTTTATTCAACAGAATACCCTCTTCTTATAATTTCTATGTAAGTAAATCAGTAATCTTAAAAGCTGAGAATTTTCCTAAGTGATCTGCTCTTAACATTATGATAGATTATTTGAGAACCGTGAATCTCTCATATAGTTTTTAGATATAATGATCTGTAGAGGTATGATCTAATCGAGATATTATATACTCATTTGCATAAATATCCTATCTTCTCATGATTTAATTTCTTATAGCCTCAAACACACCCTTCTCATGATCATAAAGATATTCATTATTTAGAACTTTTAGCCTTTGGAGAAACCTCTCAATAGTTTATAGATCTTTTAAAATGTGCGAAACTTTGTCAATAAATAAAATATTACCCTCAGATCTCGTTTCCATTGCAATTTCATATATGAGTTTGCTAATTTTATCATGAACAAGCTTGGGAGACAGATCAAATTCTAGCTCATAAAATTCATTTAATCTGGTAAGCAATCTTTGCTCAACATCATCTACTAACTCTTAATTTCTTAATACAGAAACCTTAAGTTTCTCAGATTTAACAGTAAATTCATTTCTGGTTTCAATCAACTAATTTAGGATCATTTTATTAACGACAATATTTCCACTTTAAAGCCTCAAATTGTCATCATCATCTAAATCCTTAGCGTAAGCCTTAATATAAATGTCATTTTAGAGTCTATATATAATACCCTTCTTTAGAGTTGATTGCTTCTTACAATCTCTTGTGAATCTTATAATATTCTCTATTATCACTTTTTTATTTTTAGAGGTAATATAAAGGTATGGTCCAGGAGCCTGATAATCAGTAGATAATTCTACAATCTTCCTAGTCATTCTAGAATCGTGTTCACCTATTCCAATTATAGAGAATTTTGCATGAATCTTAAACTCTGTAAAATATTCTTTGAGGCTTTAAACTTGCTCTGAAGTCTTATCTTAATACATATCATCTCCATCTGTTATGAAAATGCACTTTACTTATCGTAGATCTTATGATTTTACAATTTCATTTATGTGCTAAAGAGGTCTATAGAACACTGCACTGGCACCTGGAGTGTATTCATTATCCAAAACCTCGCAGAAGCTTTCAAAATTTTGTTAAGGTTCTACAATTTTAATCTTATGGTCGAATAATATCACTGCAACGCGTTCTTGTTTATGTTTGTTATAGAATTTTTTCATAAAAAACTTTGTTGCCTCCTTGACTTTATCCAGTTTATAGCCTCTCATTGACATAGTTCTATCTAGTACCAAGAAAAATATTGACTTCTATTTTAGGTTTTGTATGTAATTCTAATATTCTTCTAGCTTAACAGTCAACTCGAAATCAACCAAATAATTCTCTTTATCCAAATCCTGCACCTTCAATATAGCGCTCTTGTAGGACTCTTGATTTTACGCTTCCATTAAATATTTATTCTAATTAAATGTAAATTTATTATAATCAATTAGCCTTAGGTTCATTATTTAACGAGTTGAGAAATCCTATAAAATTTTCTTGCTGGGGTTTTGGGGTTTTGGGG